TGAAATTTCAACCCAGAGAAAGTGTTTTAAAAAATATCATAGTGTCTCACTGTGACCCAGCCTTGAACACAATGAGACACGTCACGGGGCAGTGGGCATTATGGTAAAAAATTGAAAAAAACGAAGCTCACATTTTTCACGTTTTGATAACAAAAAATAACAATGTTATGATAAGATGATAGTATCATTTTTGACCTGAACTTACTAATAGAACGGATATAGATACTAGTATTTATATCCGTGACTAATAGTTAACCATTATGTTTACTATGATTTTATGAATCTTCTGGATTCTCCATCTGATGGTTAAATATTAAATTAGTCGACTTATATTTAATGGATCACTGTGCCCCGTGTCACACCTCTCCCCTAAGCACGAACGCACAAGACTACATAGGTTAGTGAGGTCATGGGGGAGGTTCAAACCCCACGACCCCCCCCCTTGAGTAAGCCCCTGTCCACGAAGATTGTTTACGCGACAGCTCCATGATAACTTCTAATGTAAATTTATCATTCTTGTTGCCCGGCGTATTGTATAGGCAAAGCAGGTACATTACTGCAATGTTCAATATTTTTAGTACTGAACGTCTGCACACTTTGCACTATAATTAATATTATGACACAAATATGAYATAAGTGTCAATGGAAGAGTCAATTATTAGTGTTTTAGTGTTAACTCATAAGTTTGTGCTCATCTTATATTTGGGCTTAAATGACCTAACCTCGAACCACGCTTTTGGAACTAAGGATAATTAGCATAACCTATCCTATGTTATTATTTTTAATATTAGAGTATAAATTCACTAATTAGTAATTAAGTTAAGCACATTACCGGTGTTGCTGCGTTGGCTATTTTATGACATATTAATTTTTATGACGTAAGTTAATCTACTTAATTTAAACTTCTCAAAAAAAGCAAATATTCGATATAATATTACAATTTTTTGGGTATTTCTGANAGCGTTATGGTTTTATTCTAAATATTATTGAGCATTAAAAAACATATTAATACATTCTAAAATTTAATGAAATTTCAACCCAGAGAAAGTGTTTTTAAAAATATCATAGTGTCTCACTGTGACCCAGCCTTGAACACAATGAGACACTGTAACGGAGTCACCGGAAGCGAACATCCGTTACTTCAAATAAAGTATATAAATGCCTTTATGGTATCATCTGATGGTTTATTTCTATGATAAGGAAATATTTATATACAATATAAGGGGAGTGGACGGCTCGCGCTTCCACACCGAGAAGGTTGTGTATGGATGCGCGGCGGTCCTTACAAAGTTGGATATAGGTTTAATTGAACAATGAAGGGGCGACCCGGTTGACTATGATCAGCCCGCTCGAATAAGTGGCGTCGATCTATAGTTCCGGATGGGAAGCGTGGCCTAGGCAGGCGCGCTTGGGGGGACAGTGCACGTTTGTTCTCGGCCCTTAAAAGGGCCGTTTTAGGTATCCGACAACTTTACGGATTGAGTTGCGGGTGATGATCTGTTGGTGAGCCGTTACGGTGCTCGTTCTATTGGTTTGTTGACGGCGCTGACTATAATGCTCGACGAGCCGCGTGGTTTCCGTAAGTTTCTTGCTCGTCTCGGCTCGTAAGCTGCGTCGGTGTTATCAGCCCGGAAMCGGGCTATTTTAATAATGCGGTGTGGTCGGCGTTGGCTTCGAAAGATCGTCGCCGTTCGAGGGTCTGGACTCTGGCTAGTCGTGTCCGATTCGCTTCTTAATGAYCTGCAACGTGTTTCGTATTCGGCTTCGGCTTCGTCGTCGGTCGTTCTCCTTTTCCTTCTTGTAGACAGCAATGAATCTTGTTTTGATGTCTTGAAGGTTGAAGGAGTACTGGTWGACGATCAGTAAAATGCACCCGTATATATACCAGTTTTTGCTGTTGTGGCAGTTTTCATTGGCGGAGAGTTCTGTTATGACGAGTGAATATGACCTCGATCCTATGATCTATTCTGCTCCGTTGATGTCATTTTCGCTCGTCATAATCGTTGATCATACTTGTGAAGAATCACCTAGTTCTTATCCGTATGTACGGTTGCTCGTATGGTTCTGTCTTGATATGTGCATTAAATTGGTGGCCGTGAGAACGGCCGTTTTATGTCTTGTTATTTGTGCCGTATCAACACGTCACGGGGCAGTGGGCATTATGGTAAAAAATTGAAAAAAACGAAGCTCACATTTTTCACGTTTTGATAACAAAAAATAACAATGTTATGA